AAGAAGAAGAAGAAGAAGAAGAAGAAGTAATGCATTTTTTTTACTATTTTCCATTACATGTATATATATCTTAAATTAAAAGAGATAAAGAGATGTGTTTTTTCGTTTTCTCTTTTATATAAAAACCTAATTAATTTTTAATATGTATATAAAACTTTTCATACTCAAGAACTATCTATTAAAATATTATTATTTATTTATTATTATTTCTAAATTTTAGTATTAAATTCAAATAAATTATTTGTAAGAGTTAAAACTCTTAAACTTCCTTTTCTAGGCCTATAAAAAAAATTACAAAATTAAAATATCCAAACCCTAAAAGTAAGTGTCATACTTTACAACTCAAGGAAAGTAAGTGTCTTACTTGATGATACTTACCAATTCATGGAAGCTCTTAATCACATTATTCATCTAAACTAAGTCAATAAACTAACATTTGTTTCAAGTATATCTGTATCACTTTTAAAAATAGCTTCATTTGGTCTTAATATATATTTGAGATGGCTAGCTAATATGTTTTTTCTTATCACAAATTTTAGGTTAATTTTTCATCATATTCCCTGATTTTGAAGATTCTAAAGGAGGGAGAGACACCAAAATTAGAGAAACACAAATATCATGATATGCTATTGTAAAAACTTAGGAGCAAGATGTGAAGCAAAACTTTGGATCTATAAAGGTAAGAAAATATAATAATCCATATACAACTCAAAAGCAAATGAAAAGAACAAAAACAAGGTTCTATGTTTATGTTTAAAAGCAATCCATATATATATATATATATATATATATATTATCTTTGTGTTAAAATTCTCAATTTATATTCTTTTTTTTAAATTTTTTTAATAAAAATAGTGGTAACTAATAATCTTTTCAAAATATTAAGAGAATAAATCTATATCTATCCATCTATCTATATCTGTGTATATTTTTCTATATCTATCTTTCTATTATATAAAAAGAAAATGACTTGTACATCCTCAGTTCAACACATTTTTTTTAGACACTTTCAATTCAACTATTAAAAATATAATATAAATATAATCGATTCAACTGATTCCTGCATCCTGTGTGCATTATTATATGTTTAAACTTGTCTGCATTTAATTTCAGACCAAGAAATGGTGATTTTTTTATAAGTATATTGTGCAATGTGTTAAATAAAGTATATACCAATCACTGCCCTTGTTTAGAATAAAAAAGAACATATAGTATTTTTACAATAAAATATAATAAATATACATATTAATAATATTGGTTTTACCTTTTTATCTTCTCAGCTTCTTCTCTTCCACTTCTTTTCCTAGTATTCTCAATTATTTTATTATTATTAGTTTTTATTACATATGTAATGAATTAAACCAACGGAAGATGAATAGACACTTAATTTTTATGGAGAATAAAAAAATAAGATTACAATTTCATTCATCATCAATTATAGCACTTTCTTTTATTATTTATTTTTATCATTTTTAATTTTTTTCACCTCATGCACTTTCTTTCTTTTGGTTGAAAAAAAAAATGTGCATGAGGAAGTGAAATCCGAAAAGAGCTTACTAAAGAGAAGAAGACTTTTGTATGACTTCTGTTTGATTTTATTTCATATAAAATTTTTTACTTTATTAAAAACATTTTTTTTGAAAAAATAATAGAATCTTTTCTTCTTTTTTTTGAATGTAGGCTTAAAAAAGAATGTGATGATGAGGAGACAGAAAAAAGCACAATAGAATTGGATGATGAGGATGCAAAATAAGCCTTTTTGATGAATATATTGGAAATATGAGAAATTTGAGGGATAATTATATTAGTTCATCAATCTTTATAAATGTTAATACCAATCAAATAAAGTTTGATGGTTTTTATTTGATTTTATTTTGAATTACATACATATACTTTATTTCTATTTTCCGTAATACATATTTTGAAATTAATATTTAATAATAACAACAACAACAACAACAACAACAATTAAAATTAATGCATAAATATATATTAAAACAATATCTAAAGCTATCCTTGCAATCCCTCCATTAAATGTGAGTAACACACATTTTTATTTAATTGATTGATGTATACTAAATCAATATATTTCCGTTACATGTATATTAAATCAAGAAAGAGAAAAAGATGTGGCTTAAAAAATGGAAAAAGATTAATTCATACAATAGTAAGCACACTTAGAAAAAAAAGTGAATATTTAAGAATTACATGTATATTAAATCAAGAAAGAGAAAAAGATGTGGCCTAAAAAATGGAAAAAGATTAATTCATACAATAGTAAGCACACTTAGAAAAAAAAGTGAATATTTAAGAATACTAAGCATTGAAGGGAAAAAAAAAAGAGCATACTAAACATTAATTCATAGATATTAAGAATACTTAGGATTAGAAGGGACTAGCTTGATGTAAGTTATAATTTATTGGTTCGCTCTACTTCATTTTAAAGGAAAAAAATGTAAATTCTAGCCTAACGAATAAATGAAATTAAATTTGATAGCAGAAATAAATGACAAATTATGGAACGGAATGGTATAATTTATCGTTAAGGCTAATTAGTTTTTTCTTAAAATAAATCTGAATTAATTTTTATGTTATTTGTAAACATTATTTATTTAGTTGATGTTCTCTAACTAATTATTCACAAAAGGGAAATTTTTAAGAATTCTAGGAAATATAAAA